AAATGTTGTATATTTATCAGAAACGAAACAAAATTGTACTGATTTATACAAAATTATGTATTACTTATATTACTATTATTAATAGACAAAAAAATAATAGATTTGAAACCAAACAATCTAAAAACTAAAAAAATAATAGACCAAAAAATCTAAAAACTAAAAAAATTGATTTGAAACCAAACTACAACGAAGAACACATACCTTCTTTCGTTTTATTTTATTAAAGCTTTGTAATTCAATTTTTGGTCAAAACTGATTTAATTATTATCACTATCAATACATATTTATATCATATTTGTAATTACATAATATTTGTAAATTTGGATTTGCAAGGTAATACTGAAAAAAATGTCATCTTCAAAACTAACAACAACACTCTTATCGAAAAAGAAAGTCCAAAACTATAAATTACGTCATATTTTATAACGTTTTATTAGTATGAGTGAAAAATTAGCTAACACATTAATCTCTTGAAGGAAATAATATTTTTATTGAACAAAAAGTTATTTTTTAAAAACGATCAATGTTCAAAAATTAAAAAAAAATTTCAACGTTAAATATAGTTATTCGGCTCATTAAGCGGTCAACGAATAATTAGCCCGATTTTGATGAAATTGCGGCAAGTGAAGTCCGATCAGTGTCCAGGCGGGCGATTAGTCGTCTACGCATCCGCGTTTTTGAACCGGATGTGGGAGAGGGAGAAAAAAAAAAAGGTGGTAGAGGGAAAAAAAAAAAGAAGAAGAGTGGCATAAGTATGTAATATAGGAGGAATATCAGGGGCAAATGTAGATAAGAAGAGACACAAAATTCTTTAGAAGCAGAGACCCAATGGGCCATGCTACACGCACAAACATGAGTTTGGTGTCCGAACGTGTCCCCTTCACTTTCTCTGCTGATATTTAACGCCACGTCACTTATGACACGTGTCGAATTGTACTTTACAAAGAGATTCACTTGTTGACAAAAATGTGAAAACCCACCAGCTAATAATTAGCTTTTGTTGTTATTCTTTTACGTTCTCCTCTGTGGTAAATCCAAAGTCAGACCAGCTCAGATTAGTGTAATTATTAATTTATTTTATAAAAAATTATCATTTGATTAGCTAATAATTAATCCACGTGATGATAGATTGAATCTATAAATTATCTTACGCGACTGAACATTTAAAAATAGCATAATTAGATGTTACGTAAACACAAATTACGCCAAAGAAAAAAAAACACAAATTATGTTGATGAAATCGGTTGAAAAAGAAATGTAAAAATATATACGCTGTATAGTCAATGCTAACGTACGTATGATTTTTACTTCATACTCCAACTTAACTTTTTCAAACTAATTAATTTTTGAGTCTCCTTCTAATAGAGTCAATAGACGTAGCTTTTTCAACCATAATTTTGTGATAACTAGGATATGTGATATAAAAGATTCGGAACCACAAAGTTTGTAATACTTATGGTTGAAAAAGCTTCTATATCATTTTGTGATAATTGAAAT